TCCGTTGAACTAAATGTTTGAGGTCCACCTCAGCGCTCCATACAATGATCCCTTGTTTATTGCGGGAGCTGCGTTGTAAAAATAACCTTCAATACATTGATCATAGATGGATGTTTGTATCGTACACAGCTGCTGTTGGGATCACACACACACAAACACACCAGAATGTTTCTCAACAGTGTCGTTTGCACACAATCACTCCAGCTTTCAGGCTCTCGCCATCACGTTCTGGAGACCTGAATCTCCTCCTCATGCATATAAAGATGCATGGGCACCGATTACTAATGCGCTCCAGCCGTGGCGCAGTCAGCATGGCGGCTGCTCTCCTCTCCTCCGCAGACGTGCTCGTCCCAGCGTACAGTGTTTAGAAGCTGTAAAGCTCCTCACTACAAACCTTTTACACTTTCCTCAGACAGCATTGTCATTTTCACACGTTCTCTCGTGTTTAGACACTCTCGAGGTCCAAACCTTTCTACCTTTGGATGCAGAACACAATACGCTGTAGGATTAATGTACTGTATTGACGCGAATATAAGGCGAGGTTGTTTTCATTCAAAATAAATTTAAAATGTGGGATCGTCTTAAAATCGGGGTCTAACCATTACACGCCAGTAACAGCAGAGGGCGCCAGGCCGTATGTTCGCAACAGGAGAAAAAAATGGAGACGAGAGGTCCGGAGCAGAGTGGACTGAAAGTGGGGCAAGTTACCAAGCTATAAGGCAGAGTTATGCAAATTTTAACATGACGGTGGTCAATTCAGCAGAGGCGTCAAACATGGCATGCATGGATGGGAGGAGCCGGCAGGTGTAGCGGGCTGATGGTCCACCGGGACCGCAGCAGCATGAGAGTGTCAGCGAGGCAGAGGACGTCTGAATAGAAGCCTCATTTTACTTTTAATTTCACGTGTCAGCAAAGTTCTGATAGTCTGCATTAAAATAGTATTTATGCTCAGAATTTGTTCTCAAATTTTCAATAAAAATAGTTTATTTAAAAAGTGATTTTTTTTTTTTGTTCTTGGAAAGAGGGATCGTCTTATAATCGGGTCAGTACGGTATTTTGTTACCCTATTTTGTTAAAATTAAGAACCACATTTACACAAAAATGACTTCACCTCAAAGATGAGAAAGGATCGCCTGTAAAGAGAACCTCCTGGTGGTGAGTTTGGTCTGAAAAACCTCAAACGGTTTGTTCTTGTTTTTTGTATTTCTCACACAGAAGAATGAAACATGTTTCTTCTCAGACGGCTGGTGCTCGTTCCTGTGGACTCGCAGGTGTTCGTTATCTAATGATCAAATGTCAAACGGCTGGTTGGACCCTCACACTCATTTCTACTAGAGGCCGACCGATATGTTTTTCTGTAAGGCCAATACCGATTTTATAAAGAGTTGTGTTGCAGATACCTAAAGCCTATATATACAGGTGCTGGCCAGTAAATTAGAATATCATCAAAAGGTTGAAGATATTTCAGTAATTCCATTCAAAACGTGAAACTTGTACATTATATTCATGCAATGCACACAGACCAATGTATTTCCAATGTTCATTACATTTAAATTTGATATTCATAAGTGACAACTAATGAAAACTCCAAATTTGGTATCTCAAAAAATTAGAATATTCTGAAAAGGCTGAATATAGAAGACACCTGCTGCCACTCTAATCTGCTGATTTACTCAAAACACCTGCAAAGGCCTTTAAAAGGTCCCTCAGTCTTGTTTTGAAGGCACCACAATCATGGGGAAGACTTCTGACTTAACAGCTGTCCAAAAGACAATCATTGACACCTTGCACAAGGAGGGCAAGACACAAAAGGTGATTGCTAAAGAAGCTGGCTGTTCGCAGAGCTCTGTGTCCAAGCACATTAACAGACAGGCGAAGGGACGGAAAAAATGTGGTAGAAAAAAGTGTACAAGCTCTAGGGATAACCGCACCCTGCAGAGAATTGTGACGACAAACCCATTCAAAAATGTGGGGGAGATCCACAAAGAGTGGACTGCAGCTGGAGTCAGCGCTTCAAGAACCACCACGAGGAGACTCATGAAAGACATGGGATTCAGGTGTCGCATTCCGTGTGTCAAGCCACTCTTGAACAAGAAACAGCGCAAGAAGCGTCTCGCCTGGGCCAAGGACAAAAAGGACTGGACTGATGCTGAGTGGTCCAAAGTTATGTTTTCTGATGAAAGCAAGTTCTGCATTTCCTTTGGAAATCAAGGACCCAGAGTCTGGAGGAAGAGCGGAGAAGCACAGAATCCACGTTGCATGAGGTCCAGTGTAAAGTTTCCACCGTCAGTGATGGTGTGGGGTGCCATGTCATCTGCCGGTGTTGGCCCACTCTGTTTCCTGAGGTCCAGGGTCAATGCAGCCGTCTACCAGGAAGTTTTAGAGCACTTCATGCTTCCTGCTGCTGACCAACTTTATGGGGATGCAGACTTCACCTTTCAACAGGACTTGGCACCTGCACACAGTGCCAAAACCACCAGCACCTGGTTCAAGGACCATGGTATCCCTGTCCTTGATTGGCCAGCAAACTCGCCTGACCTTAACCCCATAGAAAATCTATGGGGTATTGTGAAGCGGAGGATGCAATACGCTAGACCCAACAATGCAGAGGAGCTGAAGACGACTATCAGAGCAACCTGGGCTCTCATAACACCTGAGCAGTGCCACAGACTGATCGAGTCCATGCCACGCCGCATTACTGCAGTTATTGAGGCAAAAGGAGCCCCGACTAAGTATTGAGTGCTATACATGCACATTCTTTTCATGTTCATTCTTTTCAGTTGGCCAACATTAGAGAAACAAACATTTTTTCATTGGCCTTTAGAATATTCTAATTTTCTGAGATACCAGATTTGATGTTTTCATTGGTTGTCACCTATAAATATCAAATTTAAACGTAATAAACATTGGAAATACATTGGTCTGTGTGCATTGCATGAATATAATGTACAAGTTTCACGTTTTGAATGGAATTACTGAAATATTTTCAACCTTTTGATGATATTCTAATTTACTGGCCAGCACCTGTATGTGTGTGTAAATATATATATGTATACACACACACGTTTTAGCAGCACATCGATTGTGAAAGACAACTGAACACTGTGTGCAATATAAATTAAATAAGTCAATAAATCTCTTCATATTTATTGAACTTACAAATATAATCTACTATTATTATTATTATTATTATTAACACTTTACATTTCAATGAAATCTCTTAAGGGCTACAATAGGAAATCAGAAACGGTCTAAAGAAAAATAAAAAACAATAAAAACAAATGAAACCATACAATGCTAAGTTAACACATGCTAAGTTAACACATGCTAAGTTAACACATGGTAAAACAACAGCAACATCAATCAGTTTGAAAAAGCCTGTGTAAATAAAAATGTCTTCAGATGTTTTTTAAAACATTCAACGCTCCGAGGTGCTCTCAGTGTTTCAGGGAGTGTGTCCCACAGGCGTGGGGCTGCTGCTTGAAAGGCTCGATCTCCCATGGAAGGAAGTTTTGTCCTGGGCTGTTGCAGGAAGTGAGAATTTCTAGAGCGAAGATTTCTTGAGGTGATGTGGATAGTAAGGAGCTCTTTAAGATAAATAGGAGCATTTCCATGGATACACTGATAGGTAAGGAGACCTAATTTGTATTTAATTCTATAGGCGATTGGTAACCAATCAAGAGACTTCAGTACAGGTGTGATGTGGTCATACTTGTGACCCCTTGTCATAGTCCTGGCAGCACAGTTCTGGATGTGCTGAAGTTTCTGTAGGCATCCACTAGAAATTCCAGTAAGTAAAGAATTGCAGTAGTCTAGCCTGGACGAAGCAAAGGCATGGATCAACTTCTCAGCATCTGATTGGGTAAGAAACGGCGAAGTCTTGCTATGTTTTTAAGATGGAAAAATGATACTTTAGAAAGGTGACGGACATGATTTTCAAGTGAAAAATGTTGGTCCAGTTTGATACTGAGATTAGTGATAGATGTAGAAAATGTTACTACCTATAATATGGTAATATTTTTTAGGTTGGATTTGACCTGATGAGGGGTAACGATGAGCAGTACCTCTGTTTTGCTGCTGTTTAGCTGGAGAAAAATTTCAGACATCCATGCCTTTGTCACATCCATGCATGCACTAAGCAGAAAGTGTAGATGATGAGGAAACTAAATCAGTTTTGAGATAAAGCTGTGTACCATCAGCGTAAGAATGAAAGGATATCCAAAAAATTCTAAAAATATCCCCAAGTGGGAGCATATATATATATATAATAAAGAGAATTGGGCCAAGAACTGATCCCTGGGGGACCCCACAAGTAATGTTTCGGGGTGATGATCGTGTCTCCCCCAAACCCACATATTCAGTTCTCTTATTGAGATTCGACTGGAACTTCAAATGTAAAACAAACTCAAAACATGAACGATGTGCAAACTGTTTCACAACTATAGAAAATAAAATAAAGTTTATTTATTTATTTTTTTTATGTTTAAAATAAAGAAAATCAAACAATACCCAGAATAATGGTGCAAAATAGTGGCTGGTCGACAGAGAATCTTCAAAAAGAAAAGTCACAAAGTAAAGCAAAAAAAAAAAAAAAAAAATTAACTATACATAAAAAAGTGCAAACATTTAACACCAAACTTATCTACTCAGAAGTAAAAGTGTTGTTAGATTTCCCGGAGTTAGATAAGTGAGGAAAGGGGTTTGTGGCTAACAAGCTCAGTCATTCTTCTGATCTGGAAGCAGTAAGTTTAGCTTTAGCTTAGCGTAAAACAATGTAAGTAAAAGGAAGGTTCTGTGCTTGAATCGTGGCGGCAGTTAATCACTTAGGTGATTTATTTATTTTTATTCAGCTTTTAAACATAATTTCGACCTATGGCCAATATAGACTAAATTGAATATATCGGCCGGCCTCTAATTTCTACATGTGAGTGTAGTTGATGCTGCAGAAAAGTGTCATTTTAATAAAAAGAATGGTTCTGACCAACGTTCGACCTCTTGTT